TATCTATGCAAAGTGGGGCATTTGAAAAAAGACAGCTGAATAACTCGCTTCTTTTTGACGATAGAAAAAGAAGTGTCGACGAAAGATGTTTGATTTCGACGTTATAACAATACACATGTTAACAACAGCAGAACACGCGAGATATTCGAAAAGTGGCATAGAAGAATTTGTTTTTCATTGTAGTTCATATGTTGTAACCCCTTGAATGACTTTAATTTATAGACCATTGTATTCGTCTTGGAAGGCTCTATCAGAGCGTGAATAAAAAATTAGGTCATCCTATTTAAAATAGTAAGTGTGACCTTCATATGTCCTCTACGCTTCCACCTATACAAAAATTATTGACATCATACAATGCGTCCCTCGAAATCAAATAACTCTTGTCTGATATTATTTTTTCTATTGTTAAAAACAAGCGAGTTATTCAGGTGTCTTGTCTCAAATGTCCACCCTGTATATGTATGTATGCATATACGCGTTCAATATTTTGCTGGAACGCGTACATATAAGAGCATCATTTCACTTCCATTGACTTACTTATTTTTTGATTTTTGCTAATATTGCCACGAAGAAATTATTGAACGAATGAACTTATTATGTTTCCTTACATGTAATACGTAAAGGTCGCCGCAGACCCGGCCATCGTCATGCGATGGTTAAAGAATAGAGATACTGAGGTGAAATCTTACGACGGTGATTCTGGAGAATGTCGTATCTTGACTTTTGCGAGGAAACGTCTTTCGGCTGTAGAATGTTAATGAGCTTATTGCCGATCGTTGACATTCAAGCCACAAAGACAACTCAGGTTTGATAAGTCTTTTATGGTCGTGGTATTGTCGAATTTTGATGAATGTTGAGAGTTCAAGGATAACTGTTGGTTCACGGAAATCGCAAAATAGTTGAAATTCTATCGAGGCTATCTTTACGACCGCGTGATAGCTGTGTAATCAAAGGATTTATAGCAGTCTTTCTTGTCGAGCACCTTTCTCGACGGCGTAAAATCGAGATTGTATTATTCAACATGTTGCAATGAGTAATAGTTTTCAAGATTACGTCCGAAGTGGCGTTATTCGCGCATGCACGACACACTGCAACAATAAATCAGTTACTTTGGTCAGGACAGCGGCTACTCTTCGTGTACATAACCGTTCAACCTTCATACTTATTAAACAAACGATACTTTTATTAAGCTAAAAGCGATTATTCAAGATCAATCTCGGAGACAGACGGTAATAAGAAATTCCGTTTAATGTTGTACCAGGAAGAAATGATGTATTTGCATTTTTTATCGTGAAATGGTTCCCTGGAAGGCGCCTTGACATTTCCCAAGGATCCCGTATATTTAAAGTCGCTAAAAAATTCAAATTTAGAGACTCTGAAGGAGGAAATGATTGCTTGACCTCCACCACGTTTTGAGCACAGTTGCAGAGTCGGTAAAAAAGAAATATTAGACAAGCGAAAATAAGTTTTCGTTAAGTATTCTGCACGAGAGAAATAATAGATTTCAACGGTCAGAAAAATATGAAATGGTCTTCCGTAAGGGACCTTGACATTTCATAACGATCTTGAAGACTTTCAAAACTTTCAATCTTTCAAATCGTCGCGTAGGAACATGACTGTTGCATCGATAGCAAAACGTATTGGACACGAGAGATATTTCAAACTGAAAGAGTCCACTAGAACTATAGAAACATACAAGGTTCACTTGAAGCAGCTTCTTCCTTTACAAAAATGTTCTCCGAGGCACCGTTAACGAGTTATTAACGAAAAACAATGTGAAGCGGCCCAACCAACCAGCGCACGAAGCCCAGTTCCGCTCATTGGCTCGGTCGCCTCGCGCCAGCTGAGCTGGGATTCGACCGCCTCGACCGCTGGCGCCGTTGGCTCGGCCGCCTAGCGCCAGCTGAGCTCGCCTCTCATTGGTCACTGTTTTTCGTTAATAACTCGTTAATGGTGCCTCGGAGAAAATTTGTGTAAAGGAAAAAGTTGCTTCGAATGACCTGAGGAACCCGCCACTTTCGGATTACGAGACATTTTTGGGACACTCTGTAGTTCTAATAGTATATAATAGAAAATATCTTACACAAATGGCATTCTAAATTAAAATGATCCTATGTAAAAAAAATCCTCAAGGATTCAAAATTCCTAAAATCGCCAGAGAAATTGAGTACACGTAGAATTGTAAATTAAAACGGTTACTGTCTCTCCGTCGCTAAATCATCCACAGTTATCTCACATGTTTAGGAAACTCGCCCGCTGTGTTGGGGCAACGTAACATGGAATAATTTGGAATTTTCAAAAAGGGGTAATTGCTTGATCCTCCCCCGCCACGTCCACGCGTAGAATCAATAAAAACATGTATTAGGAAGTTCCGACGGATTATGAGGGGCAACGAAGGCACCGTTGACCCTTCGCAGTCCCGCTCCTTAAACTGGCCACGTAATTCGAGTGCGCCAGCCGCGTCTCTCCCCCTTCTGACCCAGCAAGGGAGAGTCGTGCGTATTGGGGGTAGCAGCCGAGCCGGCCGAGCCAGTCGAGCCGAAGATATACGAGGAACGAATATCCGGAAGGGGCGGTCTACTGCCTCTGGACTCTGTCCGAGCGATCACGGGGCGGCTGCGAGGTTCCTCTCTTTCCTACACACGCGCGCGCTGACAAACAGTCCTTCAAACAGGACTTCGTGACTGGAACGGAGATCGAGGCGGACGCTAGCCGGGAAAGGGTCGCTTTCGAGAGGGGTAAACAACAACGGCTCAAATCGTAATGGCTGATAGGGGAGAGACGGCTGGTGGCTGTATTTTGATACGCCATTCAAAAGAAGAGTCCTGTTCTTACAGTCGCAAACGAATCAACTGGGGACGCCTTCATTCATTCGGGACCTGCACCCACGGTACCGCGACAAGATCTATAAATGAACGATTTGAGAAGAGGAGATACGATTATTCGACAATATCTCGGCAATTATAAAAACGAGTCGCAAGCCCCGAACAATCGTGTTTTGTCTTCCCAAATTGTTTGTTTTTATTTAGAAGCTGAGGAACACTTGGAGGGAATTTACTGTATTCGATTGGCCAATAAGTCATCGCGTTTCTTTTCCTCCGTGAACGAAAGACAAATTTTCCATGGAAACGAAACCTTCGGTCAATGATATATTTTCCATTTTCTTCGATTACATTTTGTCATCTATCGGGCAACTTCGTCATGCCGCGTTCACGCAACTTTTTATGTGCTTGCATGGCACATTTTTTCCTTTTCGAACGTAATGGAGCAAAATGTGACGAAAAAGCTCTTTGGAGTTGTTCATATCGAAATCAATGCCAAATGAACAATCTTAAAGAAAATTGCGGAAGACTTTTTTTAAGGACAAGCTTAAATCACAACCTATCAGGATATATAGCGAATTTGTGGTTTGAAATGAGATTAATCTAATAGAATTCAGGCAGAAGAATCGTAGAAGTGGAACCTCGGTTGCAACTAGACTGCGGATTTGATGCATTTCTGGCAAAAATGAGCAGCCGAGATATGAAATTGTGAGGAGACAAGAAGAATTTAATAATATCATTACATCATTTCCAACTTGTCAAAGTTGTTAAATAAAACAACTGATTTTTATTTCATTTCTGTTTCTCGCAATCCTCTTCTAACATTTTTATTTTGCATAAACATCCGCAGTCTAGTTATAACAATAGTTACAGCGCCAGGATAAATCCTCACTGTTTTGTACAATAAATTGTGCTGGACATGGGTCAACTTTGACCCAAGACCTTATAAAAATGAAACTGCGAGCAAAAAGCAGCGAATGTCTAAGCAGAGAATGCAACATTACCGCGTTAACACTTCACTTGCTAGAGATTATTAATAGTTGTTTAAACTTATGAAGATTGAATCCTGTAAGTTCATTTTAGGTCGTGCTCTGTACCTTAGAGACACAGCAATTCGTTATCTGTACTATTATATTATACAGGTTTTTACACTCAGCCCCGTTATGTAGTTAATATTCACCTTTTTGCACATAGAAAAAACCCTTTCACAAATTAAATTCACTTATTTCTAATTATTTGTAATGAAATTAAAAAATGTTACTTGTATAAATATTTTTTATATAATTTTATATAATTTATATATTAATAATATAATATATAATATGATATAATATAATATAATATAACATAATTTGTATATTTTATTTATATATAATAATTTTATACATTTTATAAATAATTATCGAAGATTCGTGAAGATTAAATTACTTGTAAGGAAACGCATGTTATTTCATTGTAAATTTTTGAATACATATTAAAAAATTCAGTAGAAGACAGCCAATTTTCATCAGCGGGAGGGTTAATTTTATTTGCAATATAATTTAATTTCGAGTGCAGAAAACTGAACGTAATCTACAAAAGGATTGCATTCAGAGTGCAAACCTGCACGAAAAGAAAAGTGAAAGTAGAAGAAAACTGTGAAGTACGAGAAAACGCGTTCGTCGAAATAAACGAATAAAACATTAATTTTCCAACAACAAGATCTGTAGTCGAAACGCGATATTAGAACATCTGCTAATACGCTTGCATCCAGAATAATTCACCTCGTTTTTACTGTAAAACACAGTTTCGAAAAAGGCTTTTTACGATGCTAAGCATCTTTTCTCGGCGCCGAGAGCGAGCGTTTCCCGGATTGCGCGTTTCATTAAAAATTGAAAAGCGGCCGAAGCCTGGGCATAGGATTCCGCGGTTAGGGTTACGAAGGGGACACCATGGACCGCAAAGAAAATTTTGACGAGGGTTAACGTTCGTGTTAAAAGGGATGCTATATCTGCAACAGTCGAAACGGCGGACACGCGAGGTTCCCGGCTAACGAAACTAATTTCATTGTCGTCCAGTTATTAAGATCGAGAATAGAGGAATTCGTCGACGGGCAGACCGTCGCGTCGTCGGCGTCGCGTTGCATAAGGAGTAACGAAGCGTCTCTGGTTAACAATGTTTTAGCGTCAATTTACTTACCGTAGCTGCCACGGGGAGACGAGGGGCGGCTCGGACGGCGGGATCTGAGGTTTCATTGAGCGAGCCATAGCCGACCGGAAATTCTGCTGCCTTTTGACATTCTGCAACAGAAATTGCTTCGCATTGCAGCCGCGCGCTTGTATTTTTTTCGTCGGCGAATTAACGAAATACTTGTCAAAAGTATTTATGAACCCCTCGCCGTACCCAATCCTCCAAGGCGCTCGTGCTTTATCCGAATTGATATTTTCACCATTTTTCTAATTGCGCTGTTTCCGTCGCGCAATCTTGTTTTATGTAACGTTTATTTCATTCCGGATTATGCGCATTTCATTTCTATGATTTAGGAGGGTATAGTAACCC